GAAATTAAAAAAAAAAAATGAATTTTGGTTAATTTTTTATTTTTTAATCATGTAAATGTTATCCAGAATAAAATAAAATCACCAACCATAATCTGACACGTAGTAAGAAAGTAAAAAAAGAAATACTCGCAATCTTAGTTCAACCCATGATTCAGATTGGGTGAAATCAAATTTGTTTTTTTTTTTTTAAGTTTTTAATCTTGTTTGACAAAAAAAATTGTCTCTTAATAGTTTTAAAACTCTTTGAATGATTTTGTATCTTGGACCTCCCCGACATTCAGCACCCTAATTTCATTATGATCAATTACCAAACAACCATATTTCAGTTTACATTATATCATAAAAGTCTCTTAATCAATCTGATCATTTGATCATTTTACACCAAATTATTGTGTAATTGTCATAATTTAACCATTAAAGATGCATATGGTATAAAGTGACAACATCGGAATTGTAATGGTTACGGCGACAAAACAGCAACGTTGGATTATAAAATCACCATGTTCCCATGGTGTGTGAAAACAAACCCCACTTTCATATTTATCCGTAAGAGGGACCGGAAAAGCATATTCCCTCCATATCCTTCCCTCCTTCCAAGATGCATGTTTATATCTAGAGTCAACTCTAAATTCAGTCCCGTGGTTTGTCAAAAATAACATTTTTTGTTTATTTAATTTTAAAATTAATTAAAAGATGATTATTTAGATTTTTCTAATGGTCGTTAAAATTTTCGTTAATGAGTGATTAAAAGACAAAAAATCAATATATAGACGATACCCTCTCTTTCTCTCTCTCTCTCTCTCACCTAAAAACATAGACACTGTTAAAAAAATATATACAAACGGCATTCATTATGATACTTAAAATACATACAAGATACACTGTGATACCCAATGTAATATAATTGTGATGTAAATTATGATACCATTGTGATACCAACAGTGGTACCATTGTGATACCTAATGTAGTAACCATGTGATACCCACCGTAGTAACCATGTGATACCTATGAACTTTAAACCAGAAAAATATTTAAAAATGTAACTCTAGAAACAAAAAAAAAAAAAACTTATATATAAGAAAAAAGAGGGGAGAAGGGTGGTTTGGAAATCAAATTTATATCTCTGTCATTGTCTTCAAGATTCGAAACCAAACCGTTGTTGGTTTCTCTCTGGTAGGGATC